GTTTTATCTCAACAATTGCAAATACGCTATTTTCTTTTGAGGTCGGCGACGCAGGTGCGGTGCTGGGTGCTCGATAAGCGACCTCTGATTGGTGTCTCTCCCGCCTGAAAGCAACTTGCATAAACGCACAATGATCTGATTGTAAAGTATTTACCCGTAAGCCGTTAGTGGTGTGAACAAAGGAGTCGGTGGAGTAGCGAAATGCTTCTTCAGATGAGAAACTGAGGATTTTTGAAGTTTAATTCCAGGCGACTTAAGGGAATACTTTCGAAGAGGATTCTGAAACGAAAATGTACAACAACTGTGAAATATAAAAAATAAATAGTTCACCAGATTGGGAGGCTTCTCACAATCCCTGGGCTCGATTTCAAGCGACTGGTTGTAAAGATAAGCTTCCAAGTCGTCCCGGTTTTGGTATACTTCAAAGGGATTCAGCGACTCGAAAAAGTTCTAAATGTTTAGATAACCGAGTGAAGTGAAACGGAACGGTTAGGTAGAAAGCGACAGCTCAGTTACAAGTTCAGGTCAAAGTACTGACAAACTGCGATGACTGGGGAAACTGGGAGATATTGTACCCCGGAGACCACAAGAAATGCTCCAATTATAGGGGCATTACGTTATTGAACCTCCCAGGTAAAGTATACTCAAAGTGCTAGAAAGGTGTCGTTGGATAACTGACTCCAAGATACAAGAAGAGCGGTGTGGCTTCCGGCCCGGTCGAAGCACCTCTGACCATATATTTGACCTGCGCCAGATTGTTGAAAAATGGTGGGAGTACGCCCAGCTGGTGTACATATGTTTTGTGGACCTAGATAAAATGTATGACCGGATCTTACGCAACGGTCTGTGGCCATGTCTTCGAGCATACGGGATAGATGGCCAGCTTTTAAAAGCCATCCACTGTATTCTGATAGCAGATGCTGCGTCAGAGTAAATGGCGTTAAGTCGAAGCCGTTCAAAGTTGGTCCTGTCTCCTCTCCTATTTGTGTTGAACATGGATATAAGTCAGGAGCAGCCAAGACGATGAGTGCATCGGTGTAAGAGGTGTGGGGACTAGAAGGTGCTGTTTTCAGACGACCTTGTTTTAATGGCATCTTTTGAAACTGATTTATAGTGATTCTTAGAAAGGTTCGCAGCCGAATGCGACGTGAATGGGATGCCTAGTGCATTCTGGTTCTGCTGCCCGCTGCTCTTTTCAGATTAACGGAGAGGCAGTGGAGCAGGTGGAGAAGTTCAAGTACCTCGGAACTGTATTTGCTAGTGATGGAAAATTGGAAGAAGAGCTCGACCGGCGAATTGGAGTAGCCAGTGGCGTTCTGCGTGAACTAGACCGATCCACTGTGAAGCATAGCTCAGTCTGAGAACTAAGCTCTCGGTGTTCAAGTCGATCTCTATCCCCATGCCTACGGTTATGAGTCGTGGGCCATGACTGAAAAGCTTTGAACCGGGGTATAAGCTGGTAATATGGGCTTTCTTAGACGAGTCGCTGGTCTTATCCGGAATACTGAATTCATCTACATTACATTACTTCCTCGTTGTAAATTAAATACCACTACGTGCTGCAGAGGATTTGCCTCTGAAGGCGCGTACAAAAGCTCTGCAGCGTGTTGATATAATACCGTAGAGTCCACATCGAGCATCAGACATCAATACTGGA